ATTTCCTGATCACCCCAACCCCCCTCTACCACCAGCCCTCCCTCCTGTCATCACACCTGCCTCTTTCTTCCTGCCGATGCATGTGGCCGCTCAGCTGCAAGACACAAACACTCAGAGTGTGTTCACACCAAGTATGTGTGAGGAGGTTTTTTTTCAAGCTAGAAGCCTTGATTTGTACTTTGAATGGTAGCAGAAAGAGCCAAACATGGACAATTTCCAAGACCAGTAAAATAGGTGTACTGCTATGGCACTTAGTAGATAGAGTGCATTATTTTACAAGATCAAATTGATTTTAATTTTACACACTGATGATGATGAGCACCTGTTTTCATCCATTCAGTACTTCTGTGTAACATCTGTGACTGTAGCAGCAGACGACATTGTATCAGACATGTTTTGAATTTTAGGCTGTGAACAGATTCAATCCTGACAACCTAACTGTGACAAAATCTATTCTGTCATGGCATATCATATTTTCAGGCAGAAATAATAAGTGGTTGGGTTTTCCTAGGGAGCCATGGGAAGAAACAGAGGCCTCTTTCTCTAATTTTCAAGAATTTGATTCACCAAATCAAAGCGCCTTTGATAGGTTGTTTTCCAAACATATTTGCATTTCTTAAAATTGTCATTCACAATAGAAAACAGAGGTTGTTTAAGTCAGCTTAGCTAACTTACATTATAAGACCATGCCAATCTTAACATGTTAGAGAATAGCAAATACATTTGACAGATTTTTCTTTTTGTGTGATTTTTGTGTTTCAGCGGGCTGTTTTTTCTTTTTTAGTGAGCATTAGATTGTTGACAAACCCAGGTTAACCACATTTCCCTATGCCTCTTGTATGCTAAGCTAGCAACAAAGAACATGGAAAACATCTACCATTTTAGATGCTACAATTTCTGCTCGTCACTGTTGTGAGTTATCCAAAATGTTAAACTTGCAAAGCAAAGACTCCTACAAAAAGATAGGAGATATACTCTTAGAGAGCTAAGAAGTGCTGCACAGGGATTAGTAGATGTGGATTTGGGTGATGGCTGCTTTCCTTCACAATGCACATGTCCACTGGGCTTAAAGTTTATATAGAATATTCATTATAAATTACAGCTTGGAGGTTGTGATACTTATTGTACATTTGTTCATCTTACTTAGTTATCAGATGATTAATTTGAAGCAGATTGCAATTAAGTACAAGAGAAAATGTAGATGTTATCTGACTATAGCAAGGCTCCAGTAATTTGAAAGTTAACATCTGTAGCATGTGTGCCAACAGTTTCCATTAACATTTCAGTGTTCTTGGAATCCTGGGATGAAAAGGGGGAACTAACAGAAACAATGCATGATGGATTTCCAGAGACATTCCAAAGAGGAATGCAATTACTGAGTCAGAGCTTGTCGGCTCCCCTTACTGTTGGTCAAAAATGATTTAGCAAGCTTTCACTCAGTGAGGTCTAAAAATATGTCCTCATCTATCTGTGTTTTATCTTCTCAGCCTCAGGAGTTTCCTTTTCACCAAAAAAAGATATTAATGAAAATATGTGACGCACCATCTTCCACGTCACAAAAGACACCTATGAATCATCTTGTACAACTGCACTTTACTTTATATTATGGGCATTAATATAATCACATTACACTATATTAAATCCATCCAATCCAAACCTGTGTTAGATGTATAAAAAAGGTATGTCAGAGCCAAAGTACCAGCTTCAAATGATTTGTAACAGTTTGATTCTCTCAGTGCCAACAAAAACCAGACATAAACCCATTCTCTTTAAGTACTGTATGCTCTAAGCTGGACGTACTTTGGATGAAAACAAATCCCCCGCAGCTCTGAATGTAAGCATTGCTTTGTTTCATTGCAGGGCTTACTAAGACTGAGGCCAAATGGTGAAAGTAATGATCTAAAAATAGAAAAAGTGGAAATAATTCTGCAGGTCTTCAAATATCTCTATTTTTTTCACGAGCTTCATTTCCTTCTGAGTGAACCAGAATAAAGTGTCAAAAGCATAAGAGCATCGCATTGAATCTCCTGCATATCATGATGGATTTAAAGTGTGCATCAAGAAAGTAGGACAGCTTTCACAGAGGCTCCAGACTGATGCTCAGTGACATCACTTTCACAGCAGAAGCCTCATTTTGAAGCATTTATAATCATAGAATCGCACCCATAATCATCATCACACTCTGCTGCACCTGCAACCTCTTCATACGTTTAATGTTATATTCAGATGTATAGGTGGAATAATAGGTGTCTGCATTTAACGACTCATCAGACAGCTACAAATGGTTCATAGTATGCACACTGTCAGTTTTTTCAGCACATTTATAGCCATCAGAATCCCATTGTGCAAGACATTTGCACTTTCACCTTGTTAAAGTGCTGCATGACTGTAATTAAAAAAAGAAAAAAAAAGCTCTGTGAGTAAGTATAAGAGAGGACAAATATGTCCTAAACTGAGAAATAATTTGAGTTGTCAAATATACAAATACAAACTAAAATGCTATATTAAAAGTATTTAGTCAGTGTATCACTAACGTGGCTAAATGCACTAATTTTCAGTTACGTCCCTGTTCCAACTCCTTCTAAGTAATCCTTCTCAGTCAGTTGTGTAACTCTTTAGGTTGGTCAGGAATTTAACCTTTAAAGGAATTTAACATTTGGAGAACATTCTTGTGTGATTTTTGAGTAGACTGATACCTACTTAGGCAATAAAAAGCAACCTGGAACACTAACTTCAGCATATATACAAGAAATAAGGCAAATAAGTTAGTCAGCTAACTGCTGACCCCTGACCCAGGAAAACTTTGCATAGTTCCCTTAAGAATTTATTTGCAAAAATCAGCATTTTTATTTGATTGTGTTTCAGCCTGAACAGCTACTAAATATTGACACCAAAAGAATCCTTCACACCAAATGAACTCCATTCAGAATAATCACAGCTAGTCACCCTCTTTTTCAACAAGTCATTACCATCTTGATTGGCTAATTTTAGCATCTCCCTGTTTGATGGCGGAGGTCATTTTGAATATTGTTGTACTATTACTGGGAAGTTAAGGCTTTGACACTTGGTATGTGGTGATTGATTGACACTTGCTATCCCTCCTGCGCTCCTTGTAGCTTAATCATCTAACATTTGCTCACGTGTGAATTCATCTTTGTTTGGATTACTGTAAGTTTTTACTTTTTTTTTTTTTTTTACTTTAGTCTCGCTGCTTCCAATTTGGGACCTTAGCTGGAAAAGTTAAAGTTGGTACAGTCTAAAAACTGCAAATCAGTGTAATTAATTGGTGGGACATGAATACATGAACCTATATAGAGAGTCTGTGGTGGAAACAGCAAGTGGTGTTTATTTTTTCCTATACTAATTGTATAGGCATGATATTGGCATCCTTAACATTGGCTTTCTTAATGCTTGTTTCTATGATAATTCCAAGTCTGTCAATCCAAAAATCACTCCAGATAACTCTTTGAGTGCTTTGTGCATCACCCTGTAACTCAAATATAAATTTGAACAAGTGGGCACCTCCATCTGCTGATCAAGATTATGTGATAACGCTTAAAGCCCCCGAATAGCTATTGTGTCAACATTGTTCTGTCAGGAGCGGGACTGTCGTAGTTTCACTGGAAACAGACAGTTACTGCCCATTTTTGTATTCATATTTCACAGGGACTTCAGACAAGAAAATCAAGATGAATAGGTAGGTGTGTGACAAAAATGTAACACAGGTAACCTTGAGACTGATTTGGAGCAAAGCTGAATGGTTTCTCCTTTGCTATTGTGAATGTTTCGGTAAAACACTTTAATGAACACTCAGCCAATAGGATTGTTTATCTATCGAGTAATTTTGTCAAAGTTCTGCAGGGTCTCAGAAGATATTCAATTGTTTTCAAGTGCAGGGTAATGATTTCCTGAGTAGATGTACTCTGACATGCAAAATTGGTGGAATATTTCCCACAGTGCATCCAAATAATATCATCTCACTGCTTATGTATTTACCCACCTTACATTTACTTTGTAGGCATTTGTCTCTGAATTCAGAAATCATCAGGGTTTTCTCTTTCAAACTTTGAAAAGCTCCCTGCTGAGTCACTGAAGATATTATGCAACTATTTTCACAAAGTGAGCAGCAGTAATATTACGAGCAATGACCCGTGTGTGTGTGTGTGAAATTGGTGGTGCGTCACTTTAGATCATCAATATGATGTTAATGTAGTTATTAAACCTTTTCACCGACAGACCATACTAAAAATTACTCTGTAAAAACAGAAATATAGCACACACGTTTTGGTAGGTGGTTAATTGTGCAAGAACGCAACACTTTTAAGTCCATTTAATTCACCTTTTTGGCAGCTAAGACAGGCTATGTACATGACAGGTGAAAACTAGAATACTTTGTGCCTGCAATGACTAAATAATATGCAAGGCCTAATATGTGGAGGGCAGTGTTATTAGACTGTTTGACTTGTTTATGTTCTCCACATCTGTTATGGAAATTTTTAGGACATATTTTGACAGTTTCACTTTACTTCAAGACTTTGAAGAAAAGAAATGCTCACTAATGGCTGTAAGAGTCTGGTAGGAGTCAAATTGGGATTTCCTACTCAGGGCATTTAGGTATGGGGTAACAGCTGTATGTGGGAATGAATTTAATGGAAATGAGAGAAAAGAGGTTTCACTTCATGACAGTGAGCTATACACTTAATGAGACAGTCGGATATGTTGACATAGCTGCTAATTCACTGAAAGAAACTACAGGTTATTAAACCCTGTAGTTTCTTTTTTAGCCATTGAGAGAAAGGTTACATACACTATAAAAAGAAACACTATGCACTATCATGTCTTTCTTACATTTCCATAATATTTATTAGATTAAATATCTTTTGAATAGTGGATATCCTGCCACGCCCTCATTTTGTATGTGTGCTGGGAAAAGAAAGGTCAAGGACTAAAACTATTCCTGTCTCCGACACAAAAATTGACAAAACGAGATCAAATCTTACCTATATTGTGCGGTATTTTGCCATATGGTCCCTTGGAAATATCTCAAGGCCACACATTCACACTCAAAGTGCAAGGTGAAGAATTAGCCTGGACAAAATAAAAGAGAAGTATATAAGAAGCCAAAAATGAAAAGGTCACCAAAGTTCAATTGCAATATACTTCTGCTAAGGACTATTTTAATTAGGAAGAACACATGCGGTGACGAATCACACTTCATATCGTACATGTCAGATATATGTCTGTGCGAAAATAACTTTGTGTTGTGTGGTCTGAAATTAGGCCATCTGAAGTCCATCGCAAACAATACAGGTGTTATCATGCATACTTGCTGTGAACCAATCATGCCACTAAGCTGAGAAACCTTTTACAATTCAGTGAGCGCTATTATGATTTATAAGGAATTATCTGCTTCTCAAACAAAAGCCTATAAAATCTTCTTAAAGCACAGTGTAGGAGGGAGGGAGATTAGATTGGTTTATGGAAAATTATTGAAATAGAGCACAGCAGGGTGTTTGTGCAGGGCTGCAGCTCCCGAGTGACATTGTAATCTCTGCAATGACTTAATGCACATTATTTGTCTCTTTTCTTTCATTTTTTGCGACCAGTTGTCCCTACAAGCTGTTTGCCTTTCTAAACACACAGTCTCGAAGCTGTGCTATGTCTTTGCCGTCTGTGGGAGTAAGAGTGTGGGTGTGTTTGAATGCGTGTCTATGAATCTGTTTGGGCACTGATTCATGTATGTGCTGCATTACAGGCTTAATGCAGGATATCATGCATGACCAATTTTTTGTTCTTACATGCATTATATGCCCTCTACAGTGAACAATATAATCTCTAAGAGTGTGCTTTGAAAACATAGTCTTGCTGTAAGTGATGTTCAGAAAATTAATGACTCTTTCTTTTCTACATTGATAACAAACATATTGGTATTCCACTTATCCTTTAGGGAGTATCACTTCTCTCTTGCTTTTTAATAAGTAAGTCAAATCAGTCAATTGAAGTCCAGAGGCAGGAGAATCCCCACAGTCCTCAGGGCATCAGCACCCCGTTCGAAGTTCATTGTCATACAGACTCCCCCATACTCAGTCAAATCCAGCCAGTAGCAGTTCCCAGTCTAGAGCTTTGCCAGCCACACCCAATATTAGATTCTAGCTCAGGGCACACAACGATGCATGCTGCGACAAAGTTTCTGGGCTGCCTTTCCTCAAGAGTCTCTCCATCTAAAGCAATGCATTATCAGGGACTGTAACATCTAGTCCTTCTTACTGAATCAGAACTCTGGAGTGATCCAGTGACCGCTGCAAAAGGGCAGCTGACAATCAGGGAAAGACCAGATGACAGCCTGGAAAGACTGCTGACAGGAGGGAATAGACCCTAATGGGGCTGGTGTGGGTTAGCGCCTCATACCAGATTCTTACTGAATCTTGCCTAACTACACAAAAGCCAAACCAAATTCTCCAAATTCTCTAGTTTCAATTTTGTATTTTTCTGGAACCGAATCACGGGAACAATCACCTCAAGGTTCTTTATATTGTAAGGTAAAGACTATACAATAATACAGAGAAAACCCAGACAATCACATGACCAAGCACATGAGCGAGCACTTGGAGACCGTGAGAAAGAAAAATCCCCGTTTAACAGGAACAAACCTCCGGCAGAACCAGGGTCAGGGACGGGTAGCCATCTTTTCATAGCTAGTCAATGCTCCCTTTCACTGAAACCCCTTTTTATCTACTGTTCTCTTCTTGCCTGTCTTCAATGTCTCATAACACACCTTGTTTCATTCAGGTTCATTTTTCTCCTGCCTCCCCTTTCCTCATCATCTCACAATGACAGGCTGGTGAATTGAAGGTCTCCAAGAGCACTACTAGCTGTATTTTCCATCCGGGCTAGATTTTGCTCATCAACAGTTGTCACAAGACCAAGGAATCCTACAAAAAGAACAACCTAAGCCTCAGCTTTTAGCTGGTCCCCAGTTGGACTTGACCTGTCAGTCTCAGTGTTACCAAACACAGCATGCACCACATACTTACCTAAGAGAATTGATCTGACTTCCTGAAATATTTAAGGTGAAATGATCTGAGAAGGTGTGTGGTGGGTTGATGCTGATCATTTGAGATTTCCCCGGTTATAATGTCAATATTAGCCTTTAAGGCACAGCAGCCAGGGAATGCAAATAACACATTATTGACCTGCTGTCATTAACTGTCTGCATTTAAAGACACTGCTTAGAGCAAATAACCTGCTGTGATGCCCATTCAGGCTTGGAAAATGACTGAGGGAATTGAGACTTTCAAAGATACCAGGAGAGCAGAGTTTCATTATAACAACACAACAAGCCTATTAATAAAATGTATAATGCATTTGAAATCTGTTTGCTCCTCTTTCCGTGTTTCAGTCACCATCAAATTGATCTTTAACTAGTTCATTTACAAATATGAACTTAATATGAATGTAAAATCAGCAGCTTAATGAAGTGGTAGTGAGGGGACATTCTGTTTCAGCAGCTGAAATCAAATCTAGTGAACCAGCAGGCAATGAAGAAAACAGCTTGATGTCATAGGTGCTCAGAGAAACCATTTCACTGCTATTTGAATAATCTTCAGGCATTGTGGACATAATATGTAGTGATATTATTATGTGACTGTGCAATGGGAAAAGTTTAATTAGGTTTTGGCACAAGAACAAAACAATCCTGACCAACAGGTGTATCATCATCAGGGCAAATCCACCTTGACCTACAGTCTAGACTTTGTAGTTTCTATAAAACCAGCTTGTTCTTAGTCCCAGGACTATGTCATAGTTTCTAAGCTGCTGCCATGTCACAGATATGTGCAGGATGTTCTCACACTCTATGCAATTTGGCATGATTTCAGTGACGTATGTAGCTTATAGCAACATTAGGGGCATATTTTAGTAAAAGATCCTTATTTGGACTAAACCCAACTGAGATTTTTGTGACTAAACTTCACCAGCAAATAAAAATGAAATGAATGAATCTAAGTGGAAAAAAGTGCAAAACATGAAGGTCCAAACAGGAAATAAACTGTGATCTTGAGAAGATATGACTTTTCACCATCACCTCTCGAACCTGAAAATACAGACTGAGGAGGAAGGCTGTGATCTAGACAATCAGCAATGCTGAAGCTGGTTAGAAATTGTTACTAAAAATATCACTCCGCTTCCTCCTTTATCCCTGTCATAATTGCAACACCCTCTAGAGACCAATGTCTTCTGAAGACAAATGTGTTATCGTGTAAAGTTTTTCACTGGTTCTTTGTTTGAATTTTATGGATCGGATTTTGCTATGAAGCATTATTTCCTGTTTAATAGTTGGTAATAAGAAAAAGGGATCACAAGTCTTTACTGAAAATACCTGGATATTGTGGATATTATAGCAAAACTCTGCTCACTGAAAAAATGAATTGTCAGTAATATAATGCATTTTCAAGTTCCTAGTAAAGATAACTAGTTCTAAAAAAAGAAAGAAGGTCAATCTTGGAATCCATATATTCAATTAAATAGGGCTGTTGATTTTTGTAGCATTATTTGAAAGACAAACTATTGAATCTGGGTGCTTAATCTCAGTATGGCATCAAGTAAAATGAATAAATTCCATTTCATTTGCCTTCTTTGAAATTTCACTTTGAGGAGTTGAGGTCTGGCAGAACAGATTGCCGTCTGGAAGAAAATAACACGAGAACAAAACAGAGACTGATGAAGATTTTAATGAAATGTTCTGTTCGCTTCAAACTCCAGACGTGGCTCACTGATTGGCATTCATGCTTGAAACCTGGAAACACACGGTGTCCCAAACCAGTGCCTGACAAAAATGACAGAATGTACAGTGGAAAGTTTTACCAAGTATATCCAAATTAAGATGTTTTATGATTCATTTGAAGGGTTTATTCATGTTATTATCAAGGCCAGTGGCTAAGAAATATATTATTCAAAATAGGGACGGAGAAACATACTTTTAGACTTACTGTAATTCCAGATTTATCAGCTGTATCTCTTACCTGTTACCTCCTACAATCACTCTATCATTTTACTATTAGAGCAACCAAGTAAATATTAAGAAATAAGACAAAATGTAATAGTACTACAAGACTACAAGTAAAACGGACAAAGATTGCTTGTTTATTCCCTTGTGAAATGTATGTTACCTATAAGCCAAAAGACCTTGAGAGAGTCCACACAGGCACATGTAGAACAAGCAAACTCCACAGAGAAAGGCCTGACCCAGCCAACAAGTCAAACTAGAAGCGCTTTTGCTGTGAGACAACAGGAGTGAAAACTGCACCACTCTTCCACCCTCCCCCAAATATTATTTATATTAAAAAGCATTATGAAAACAAGATTTCAGCTCACAACATCATCACCTTGGGGACATGACCAAAATACTTGCAAGTAGGTTTCAGTTTTATTCCTCTAGCAGGCATTGGTTAGCTCTGGATTTGTTTTTAACGTTCAGCTTCTCACTGGGGTTCTTTCCAAGTAATTGCAATGGCAGTTAAATGGATATTTTTACATTCCCACCCCATTTTTTCAGTATGTGCTTCAAGCTAAGACTTCCACTTATTTTAATTGCAGAACAGTGTCTTGTGCTCTGTACTTGACCGTTTCACATGAGGTTGTGGTTCATTTTGAAAGATATGTTTTTCAGTAGGAACTAAAAGCCACTGGTAAAATATCAAGAGAGGAACTAAGGCATTATTGATCTTTTCATAACATTCGTTGACAAGAGAAACACCAGCATTATCCCTAAACATCAAAGGCAAAACTATGGGCTTTCAGATGTTGGGCTTGCTAAAAGGATATTTTCAACCATTAATGTAAAGCATTAAAAAAAAGAAAAGAAAAGAAAGACTTTAAATATCAGCTATCATACATCTACTATGTCTACTCTGGCACACTGTAAGTGAGTTATTCATTTTCTCTTTTTCAGGAAAGTGTGTTTCAGTCACGAGAGCTGTTGGGAGCTGGCAGGCTTTTACCATTCTGGCTCAAACTAAAAACCCACTTTGTGACCACAGCATGTTGGTTTCTTCATTCACTCATATTTCAGTTCACTTTAACTTAATAGT